AGGGTCTTTACATCCCAAAGGCAGGAAGGGCCAAGCAATTGGCTATCACAGAGGTAACATGTTTTTTTTAAAGCATTGACATTTACGATGGATAAGTGGCTTTAAATTGCTAGCAAATGACATTTCCCTGCAGCTTTCTATTTAAAAGAAACATAAATGGCTCATAGATCCCTCCAAAAGTTCCCCCAAAATTTTGAGGAATCTTTTTGGGGGGTCTGGCTGTTTGTATTTTTTTTTTTTTAAGAAGCCTGCAATGAAATGTCAATTACAATAGTATCATCTCTTAAATTTGTAAGCCCTGGTTCACACTGCTATGACTTGTCATGCGATTTGACAGTTCCAAATCACATGACAAGTCGCACCCCATTTCTGGCAATGGAACCATTCATATCACCGTGACTCATGTAGCAGCGATTATGAAAAAGGTTCCTGCACTACTTTTTGCTGATTTCATTGCGTGGACTTCTGGTATATGAAGTCGCAAGGAGCAATTAAATCGGCAGTGAAAATTGTAATGATATGCGACTTTGAAATCGCAATTTCAAAGCCGCACCATTGTGAACAAAATGTCACTTTTGCTGCATTCTACAGCACAAATGGAAAAAAAACAACTTATGTATAGTCCCCCCACAAATTATTTTCATTGGGTACCCCTTAAATTCCATACAAGACTCAAAGGTCCTGGTATGAATTTTAAGGGGGTACCCCATGAAAAAAAAAAAAAAAAAAAAAAGTCATTAGGTCCTTCAGAAAATCCATCCTTTGTGTTCAGACCACATCTTAAGCCCATCCCTAGTTCCAATAGTCAAATTGCTCAACAGATGGACATAGTCTAGATATGTGGTTAGGAGCACCTAGTATAAATTCTTGCTTTAAATGCATTCAAAATGTTTATTTGTTACAAACATCAAATATGTCCAACACATTTTGAGCTTGATCCAGCTGACTGGTCACATTGCTGATGCTGGATATGCTAGCTTCAATCCAGCCTCAATTAATTTCATCCAGATTGTATAATGAATGAGTCCTAGTTCAAGCCCGGAAGAAGAGGGAGTCCTTTGCCCCCAAAATGCATTGGATATACTTGACATTGCTAACAAATATAAATTTCAAGCAAGATGGAATTTTCTACTAGGAACTCTTAAACCACATACCCAGAACTCAAGGAATGTAGCTCCTAGGTTGGCTGACGCTTGGGTTCTCATCTCTAAAAAACGATGCGTCCGATCTTCTCTCCATAATTGAACCACTTACCAGCAAAAGCTACTTGAAGAAGGATGATCCCAAGGAGGAAGGAGAGGGCCCCAACTGTGGACGGTCTCATGGCTGCTAGTCAGAGTGAATATCTGTGTTTTAGCTCCTTTTCTGGAATTTATACCAAAACCTCCAATGGAGGGAAAGTGGTAAAACAGGAATGGGAACTGGTTTTGCTTGTTAGTCTGCAATACTTTTCGATGGGGTGTAGGGCATCTGCTATGACATGTGTATAGTTTGTTGTTCACAGCAACCTCGTCAGCTCTTCTGTATCACATATCACTTACTCTCCTTCCTCAGGCCAAAAAAACAATTGTCAGACTGGTGTGAGTAAATTGGGTGGAAATTCTTCTATTACAAAATACAGGTGTGTGTAACTTGTGAGTCAAACAAAAAAAACCTTAGGGATCGCTAACAACTAACACATACTCCAACTGTGCAATTTAAACCATATATCTATAAATGTTGCTCTCCTATTATCCAACTATATAAAGTGTGTGAAATATACTGACAAAAATTTTTTAATATATCAATAAAGTGATCATAATAAAAAACAAAAATAAATCCGTTTATCCAAAAAAAAAAGGCCAAATTTGTGATAAAGTGATTAAAACATAATACAGTGACTTTCTGTGAAACCTTCAGTGAAAAATCAGTGTCTGCTGCTCTTTCTATAACCCCTTGCTCGTGACCTTGCTCCTGTCTGCTAATCTGTGTATCACCCTGGCTTGATCCTGACCTTGCTCCTGTGTGCTGCTCAGTGTATGACCCCAGCTTGATCCTGCCATTGCTCCTGTCTGCTGTTCCATATATGACCCTGGCTCTGGCTACTGACTGCTCTACCCAGCCTCCGGGATCCACGTGTTCTCTGGAGAAACTCCTCCTGCAACGGGAGCACCCACGGGTTCCATCTCATCAAGCATCTCCAAGCAGCAACACCACTGGCAACCCAAGCTTCTTTGGGCACTGCACCTCCTGTTTCCACCTCCAGGGATGAACTGCACTTAGCCATAAGGGGCGCCCTCTCTCTATTGCAGCCTCCAGTCAGGTACATGACAGGGGATGAGGAGGGCTTTTTCAGAGACACATGCCGCTTGCTGTGGCTGCACTCTGTTCCTTATGCAGGGGGTGAGCAGGGAACCATAACTATAGGCAACCGGCTACTTTTTTTTTACCATTCATCTGTAAACACCACAAAGTATGTTTGTTTCTTTGTTTTGCAAAATTGCTATAAAAAACTCAACATCAAGTGACACCATCTTTACATTTAATGTTGGGTGAGACCAGGAGTGCCATAACCATGAGTAGTAATAGAAGAATTTCAACTGTATAAAGTGTGTGAAATATACTGACAAAATTTTTTTTTTATATATCAATAAAGTGATCATAATAAAAAACAAAAAAATAAATCCATTATCCAAAAAAAGTCCAAATTTGTGATAAAGTGATTAAAACATAATACAGCGACTTTCCGTGAATCCTTCAGTGAAAATAGATGTGCGCTCACCTCCTTCTAAGCCTATTAGACAGGCTTAATAAGCTTTTGGTTCACATATCCTGGAACCTACTAGGATTGCTGCAGTATATGATGGATGTTGGGAACTTCTTGCAAACACCTTTCCCCTTTAAACTCTGTATATCCCTGCAGGGATTTCTCCCTCCTTCAGCAAGTTGGTGAGTTTGGGAGCAATTACAAAATACAGGTGTGTGTAACTTGCAAGCCAAACAAAAACCTTAGAGATCACTAACAATTAACACATACTCCAACTGTGCAATTTAAACCATATATCTATGGTTGAGGGTGGAGCCTAGCCGGTGACGTCACACCGCCCCACACCTCGTGGAGGCCGGTGGCCATCTTTGTTTCTGGGATACCCTATGTGAGTTGTTTTCACTATGCTCCAATAAAAGTTTATGAACCTATTACACTATCAGTGCTTTTTTGGGGTGGGCTGTTTGGTCGAGTCCCCCCCCCCCCCCTTTTTCAAGGTGGTTATCTTGTTTGAGTGTCCTGGTCTGAGGAGTCTGGATTAGCTTTATGCCAATTATTGCTGGATGTCTGGTGTCCCCCTGCTGGTTAGAGGAAGGAGCATCCCTACCAGAGTGACAGTCTGCTAGATGACCCACACTGCTTCAGCCTTCTAGTACCAGGAGTGGTCTGACAACTCAAATGTGCACATTATGCGCTTTCTGGTGAGTGCATAATATTTACCCACCTTTGAGCACGGAGTCGACAGCTTTTGCACCTTTTTACTGGGACAATTGAACCATTATTGGAGGACGGTGTTTTCACTTTAAGTACTTTAGTCATCACTCATCTTATTTGATTTTATTCAAATTTTATCAGATTTATGATTCATGAGTCATCTCTTTTTAGCGCTGCATATGTTATTATTATTTATAATGTGAAGGTTTGGGGTTTGTACCTTTTACCATTTATCTCCAAGCGCTCGTTAATTATTTTACTGTTCTATATATCTATAAATGTTATGCTCCTATTATCCAACTATATAAATGTGTAAAAAATATACTATTATATATACAAACTGACAAAAAATTTTCAATATATCAATAAAGTGATCATAATAAAAAACAAAAAAATAAATCCATTATCCAAAAAAAGTCCAAATTTGTGATAAAGTGATTAAAACATTTTTACAGCGACTTTCCGTGAATCCTTCAGTGAAAATAGATGTGCGCTCACCTCCTTCTAAGCCTATTAGACAGGCTTAATAAGCTTTTGGTTCACATATCCTGGAAACCTACTAGGATTGCTGCAGTATATGATGGATGTTGGGAACTTCTTGCAAACACCTTTCCCCTTTAAACGCTGTATATCTCTGCAAGGTTTTCTCCTGATCCTTCAGCTGCTTTGAATCACTAGCACAATCCTCCTTATACGTTCCTCAGTGTGAAAGGAGACAATAGGAACATAGTGCTTTATCCTTAAAACAGACTTTATTTTATTCTACAAATCTTAATCAATGCACTCACATTGTTAAAATCAAAAAAAACGCTTTCAGTGATAAATGCCTGTATCAGCCGTTCTAATATATGTACTTGCCGCTTGTTCTCTCTGAAACCGAGTGACTTTTTCCCCACCCCTACGCGTTACGCCATAGGACACATGCTTCATCAGGGGGTTATGATTGGACAGTCACTACACACAGACTCCTTTATATATGCTGTCTCCACCGGTATTTTCTGGAGATCGCATGGGATCGCGCGCTGTCTTCAGAATACCGGGCCGGCCGCTCAGCTCTTCTGATGACTGCTGACCTTTGTGGAGGGAGGGGGGGCGTGTATGAATTTGACAGGTACCCGCTCCCACTTCTGCGGAATTGTTCCAACCTGGTCCTCTATGCGCTGTCTTCCCGGCTTCTGTAGTGTGGGCATGACAGCCGGGTGCCAAGTGCGCATGCAAGAAGTGGTGCTTTTTGTGAATGGTAAGGCGGCACCTGGGACACATGACAGATCCCAGAAGCCGCCGGACCAATCACAAAGCGCAAGTGCTTCTCGCTCATGCGCACTGGGCACCCGGCTGTCATGCCGAGCGCCATTACAGAAGCCGGGAAGACAGCGCGCGGCTGGATAGAGAAACAGTTAAGATGAAAGAACAATTCCGCGGAAGTGGGAGCGGGTACCTGTCAAATTCAGGTACCCACTCACCCCCCTCCCCAAAGGTCAGCAGTCATCCCCTGTACTATCCACAGTCTCTGGTCATCCCTGTGCTGTCTGCAGTCTCTGGTCATCCCTGTGCTGTCCGCAGTCTCTGGTCATCTCCTGTGCTGTCCGCAGTCTCTGGTCATCTCCTGTGCTGTCCACAGTCTCTGGTCATCTCCTGTGCTGTCCGCAGTCTCTGGTCATCTCCTGTGCTGTCTGCAGTCTCTGGTCATGTCCTGTGCTGTCCGCAGTCTCTGGTCATCTCCTGTACTGTGTCCGCAGTCTCTGGTCATCTCCTGTACTGTGTCCGCAGTCTCTGGTCTCTGTCTCCTGTGCTGTCCGCAGTCTCTGGTCATCCCTGTACTGTTCGCAGTCTCTGGTCATCCCTGTACTGTGTTCCGCAGTCTCTGGTCATCCCTGTACTGTGTCCGCAGTCTCTGGTCATCTCCTGTACTATGTCCGCAGTCTCTGGTCATCCCTGTACTGTGTCCGCAGTCTCTGGTCATCCCCTGTACTATGTCCGCAGTCTCTGGTCATCCCCTGTACTATGTCCTCTGGTACTGTACTATGTCCGCAGTCCATTAGTTCAGAATTTTTTTTTTCCTGTATTCTGCCTCTAAAACCTAGGTGCGTCTTATGGTCAGGTGCGTCTTATGGAGCGAAAAATACGGTACTGTGTTTCTTATTTACTAACAAACTATTTCTATCCACCACTTCTATTGCCCTACTCTCTTTTTCTATTATTTCTTTTTTATATCCTTTAGCTGTAAACCTCTGAATTAATATCTCACTCTGTTCTCTATATTCCTCTATATTTGTGCAGTTTCTTCTTAAGCGGGAGAAACTGGCCCCTAGGGATATTTTTAATCCACAGTTTATGATGACAACTATTAACCAAGATATATGAGTTTCTATCTGTTTTCTTAAAATAATTTTTAGTGATGATATGCGTACCTGTATTAATGATCCTTATATCCAAAAAATGTATCTCACTATTACTAATATTCCAACTCAAAATGATGTTCTTATTATTTAAATTCAATTTCTGATAGTAATTGGTTAATGATGTTACATCCCCATTCCAAAACAGTATAATATCATCAATGAATCTATTATAGATAACCACTTCTTCAAGAATACCATTAAATATGACTTCTTCCTCCCATTTTGCCATATATAAATTTGCAATACTGGGTGCAAAGTGGGCACCCATGGCCACACCCCTTATTTGCAAATAATAAGAATTTTGATACCAGAAATAATTATGGTTAAGGCAAAATTTAATATATTTAAATATATATCTTTGCTGTCTTTGCAAGCCGGGGTCATACACAGATCAGCACACAGGAGCAAGGTCAGGAGCAAGCCGGGGTCATACAAAGAGCAGCAGACAGGAACAAGGTCAGGATTAATCCGGGTTGGTAACGGGTAATCAGCAGTAAACTCAGGAACACATGAAAGGGAGAGGCTGATGATAATCTAACAATCACTGAGCAGAGCTGCAGTCCTTATAAAGGCCACTGAGTGTCAGCAATTAGTGCGCCCTGCGTGTGCTGGTGCGTTTTCGCTCACAGGAATGCGTGATTATGTGCCGCCTGCCTATGCACATTTCTTTGCACAAATTGGCGTGGCCATATTGAGCATTGGCACATTTGCCCGGGATTCCTCTTATTTTCCCCTGACATCCCCTCTCCACTCACCTCTCTCCAGACAGCCATGGCTCAGCCAATTGACAGCATGGGAAAGAGGACTTGGCCTGTTGCTTGGGGCACTAGGAACTGTAATTCAAGGGTGATCCACTGTGACACACAGGGATGGCAGCAAAACTACAAATCCCATTAAACTATGGAAGCCAGGAGGATTTCAGGGAGATTTTTGATACACTGCACATGAGAGTTTTGGGCTTTCTGGCAACCAGTTCCTGGAAGGCAGAAGACCTCTGCCTGAGTGCTACTGGAAATCTAACTGGAGGGGACTTGATCTGGTGACTGGGAGCAAGACACAGTATCAGCCACACTAGAAACGCTTGCCCCTGCAGTCAACAAGAGGTTGGAACATTCATCTACCATCTACTTACTGTTGCTTGTTGGAGGCTTTGGAAAGAGACTGAGAGGGCCCCTTCTATGATGGATGCCTACAGATGTACCCTGGGAATTAATGAGAGGCCTATCAGCCCATTATACTGCTAGCTAAGACTGAGTTGCCAAGAGCAAGACACCAAATGCACCTCCAACATACTGCATCTACACCAGCCTTTCAAATCAACTCTACTAGACCTATGCTTCTCCTTATACCAACCATAGACCAATGTTCTACTGAACTGCCACTGTGTCTGACCCACATCTATTCTGCATGATTGCAAAGACTATACTACCCTTATAGTATACGTTAATTGCATTCAAATTTATCAGGACTGTCATTAAGTGCACCAACATCTCTTAAAGGGCACAATGATAACCGGCAGAAGGATCATCTTAAGGACAGCCCATGTCACATAACCTGCCCGCAAATACCCCTCCATCTCCCTATACCCATCCTTGTCACCTAAAATACTGATAGTGCTTGGTGCTATGCCTAGCATGGTTGCAATATGTGCACACTGGCAGTATAGCGCCAAGGGTTTATAGACTCAGTTTACTACTGCTCACTGCTGCACTTCAGGTGGCATTGTTACAGTTTATTCTGAATGGCAAATGTCATTCTATGCCTTGTCCTCATTGCTAAATACTCTGCATACTAAAGTGTATCATTACTAGTGATGGCCAAACAGCCTCCTGTTCGGTTCGAGGTTGAACATTCAAACCTACTGAAAGTTTGACTGCGAACTTCAAACAGGGACAATTCACTAAGTATCTGAATATGCGGTAAGATACCGCGCAGCTACTAAAATATCGCATGAGTTATATTATTAAGTCATGTTGTATTTTAGTACTGAAGACACTTTTCAATGTTTCAGCTGTCAATGGAGTTCCCAGCTGACAGCTGAATGTAAAAATCATTCACCAAGGCAATTTAAAATTTTGAAAAAACTGCATGGGGTCCCCCACCACATCCATACCAAGTTCTTCGGATCTGGTATGGATTTTGAGGGGAACCCCCATGCCAAAATAAAAAAAAATGGTGTGGGAGTCCTCCCCAAAATCCATACCAGACCCTTATATGAACATGCAGATTGGCAGGTCAGGGGGCACTTGCTCACCCCCCTTCTTAAACTTTATCAAGGTCCCATGGCCCCATGGGGACCCTAAAGCACCTTGTCCCCATGTTGATGGGGACAAGGACCTCTTTCCCACAACTGTGGCCAGTGGTTGCTGGGGCCTGCAGGCAGGGGGCTTATCAGAATCGTTTAGGCCCTTAATCTTTCATTTTAAATTCAGAAAAGGTAGATGGAAAAAAACCTTGGATTAGTGTCAAACAAGGGGTTATGTATTGACCGCAGGGGGCACAAGGCCATGCAAAGAGCACAACAAAAAGCAAAAAAAAAAAAAAAAAAATAGCTTTCCTAGGAAAAAAATCTTAATCAAAAATACCAAAGGCACTATTGGGTAGTAGACCCCTTGTTTCTGAGAGAAGTCCACCTTTGTTTATGAAGGGTTTATCTCATTCAGGATTTTGGACATTATTATATGTATTGGGCAGGAATTATACTGATTGCAATTGCCGGCCTAAAACATACATCCATAATTAAACTGATAAAGTGTATATACAGTAGGCATTCACAAAACAGTTATTTAACCACTCGCCCTTCAGAAGATTTACCCCCCTTTATGACCAGGACATTTTTTGGCTGTGCTACTTTAACTGGCAATTGCACGGTAATGCAATGCTGTTCAGAAATTCAATTATATCTTTTTTTCACTCAAATAGAGATTTCTTTTGGTGGTATTTGATCACCAATTGGGTTTTTAAAGAAACATTTTTTCCCTCTTTGCTATTAAACATATCCAAAAAAAAAATACAATTTCTTCATAAATGTAGGACAAAATGTATTTTGCTACATGTCTTTGGTAAAAAAAAAAAAAAATACCCATAAATGTATCAACTGTGGGTATAGGATTATGACTTTTTTTTTTTAAATGGCTGAACTGGATGGACTTTTGTCTTTTTTCAACCACACTATGTAACTATGTATAGTAATTGGTTTTTACGAAAATGATAGCATCTACAAACAATGGTATATATACTGGAATTTTTTTTTTTTTTTATACTAGTAATGGTGGCGATCAGTGACTTATAGCGGGACTGCGATAGCACAGTGGGCAGTCTAGCACTAACTGACACTGGGTGAGAACTGACTAACTGCCACTCCAGTGAAACTACTATAGTGATCAGTACTAATAAAAAGCTAAGGACACAGGGCAAGAAAGGGTTAACATCTGGGGCAATCAAAGGGTTAACTGTGTGTCAGGAGGGCATTTTTACAGTTTACTGTGTGGCGTTTTACTAGGGGATGTGCTGTTTTTTATTTCCCTGCTTTGAAGGGAGATAAAAACCAGAACATCCCCACTGACAGGAGAGAGATCTGTGTTTACATTTGCAGGTCTCTCCCCTGTGCGTTGCTCTACTGTTTTCTGCATCCCGGCCATGAATCACTAGTCAGGACCCGGTAATTGACATCTACAGGAGCCAATGACAGAGCGCTCCCCTCACCCAGAAATGCAGAATCAGGTACAGTATATATATCTGGTACTTGATTCTGCACAGAGCGATTGCCCTGCAGCAGTATAATTGGTCGGCAAGAGGTTAAGGCTAAAATAATATATCAATGGAGCTATATAACGATGATATTATGGGTAAAAAAATTTAGAAAATACCCATCCAAAAGTAACCAAATGTACCTGCAAAGTAACAACATAGTTCTCAGTCCAGAAAAAAACCTAAGAAGCCAGAAAGATAAACTAGACGTGTACTTCGTTTCATTCTGGATCAAAATTCAGACAAAATTTTTGTGATTCCGAGATTCGGATGTATCCGAATTTCCGAATGACAACAGAGACAAATTTAAATCAATCCAAAATAATGAAACAAAATGTCATCTGAAATTCAAATTGAATTTCAATCAAACTCAAAAACCAAAAACGATTTTGAAATATAAACATATTGCTAACTATTGCTGATTTCCTTCAAAGACTGTGTGTGTTAGTGTTAGAATATAGCCTTCTTCAAAATTCGAATTCCATAAAGGAATATAATGGAATAAAACAGAATAAAATATAAAAGAGCAAAAAAGAAAAGAATAGAATAGAATGGAATAGAATAGAAACAATATAGAATTGATTTGAATATAATAGACTAGAATCAAATAGAGAAAAAAAGAGAATAGAATAAAATAAAATATACAGAAAATAAAGGAATAGCATTTAAAAAGAATAGACTGGAATAGAAAAGAATAGAATAAAAAAGAAAAGAACAGAATAGAAAAGAATAGAAAAATAGACTAGAATAGAATACAGACATCTTCCAAAATTCTAATTTTGAAAAGAATAAAATAGAATAGAAAAGAAGAGAGTAAAAGAGAACAGAATAGAAAATAAAATAATTCACTAAAATATAATAGAAAATAAAGGAATAGAATAGAATATTATAGAAAAGATTGGAGTAAAACAGAACAGAATGGAA